CGGGCGAGGGCTCGCCTCGCCTCGCCTCGCGGAGGGGCAGGGGCAACTCCTCTGCCCGGGGCCGTCTGCCCTTCCTCACGGGCGTGCGAGGGCCGCAGCAGCGTGTCTGCGCAGGAACGAGCTCTGGCAAGCTCTGCCTAGGTGCTGCACGGCTTTCTTGCAGAGTGGAAGAGTACTGCTTCCCGAGGCAATCGGTATTTATATTTTTTAACCCCGAGAAGCTAAGCTCCTTTTCGCAAAGGATTCGACTAAAGCAGTTTCATGAGCTTGAGCCGCTGGGGTTGAGCGTGAAGGAGTAACAGCTTCTTGTAGATTATGCTAAGAGTGGATCTCATCTGGTAAAACCCTTCCAGAAAGTCCCTTGACTAATGTTATTTTTGGAGTATTTGCTTTCCGATGAGCAATGATGAGAGGATGCTCTCAGCTTTATCCTGTGAATGTTGTGAGAACTGTTGTTTTGTTGGATCGATGTCAAATTTAGTGCCTCAAGACCAGTATTTCTATTTTATGTCCAGTAGCGCACCTCTCGCTTACTACTTGTAACAAAAAGATATGTTGTAGTTTTTTGATTGTTAGCACTGCTCTCGGTTCCTCCCAGTGCTGTTGTACAACGTATGCGTTTGATTCCTCGCGTCTAGTTGCCAAGGTAGCAGACAGAAGAAAAAAATCAGATGAGCTTTGGAGAAGGGTTTAGGGATCCTTCAAAACAAAAGGTCCTAGAGAAACACGTAGTTTTACTTGAGAACGTAATTGATCACTCTAGCCAAAAGCAATGTGGGGGTTTGGGTTTAGAGTTTGTTTTATTTTAAAAAAATCACACTTTCTGCAAATTTAGAGGAGCTTGTGATGTTGTAAACATGTTGAAGAGTGTGACAACCTTCCAGTCAAACTAAGCTTTATTTATTTATCTTTTTATTTATTTATTTACCCCCCCCCCCCATAATAGAAGGGCAGTAACCCTTAGTGATTAAGATGTGGGACTGGAATTGTCCGAGCCCTGGTCCTGAGTCATAATCAAGCCTTTTGGAGTGTTCCTGCCTGGGGAACATGGAGAACAGTTTTGACTCAATAGTTCTTTTGGATGTAGTAAATACATTTATATTCATTATTCATATTTTGAACTTTATGAGCATCCTGGTGGTATCACAATATATATTTTGATGCTTAAATAGAACATTAAAGCAGAATTACATAAGGTTGTCCTAAATATCAGCCTCTGAATCAAATGTCTCTTGTTTGGCTTTTTGATGAGACTTTTTTCACGTTTACTGTTTCCTCTGTAAGAGTGTCTTGGCTCCATTCAGTCAGCTACCAGTTTCTGGGTGCAAAATATTTGATAGTACATCTGAGGGGAGAGAAGTATGTGGTGGTGCTAGTTCGTAGCGTAAAGAGTTTTGAGACTGGCAGATTTCTCAGGAGCAATGGTCAACACCCCCAGCGTTCCAACAGCTGTAAGTGGTTTTTATGAAAAGTCCCCTGACAGTGGTTTCTCCTGAGTCTGCTTCTTCGCTTAATGCTTTCATTTATGTAGTTCACCCTTCCTCTGGCTTTACAGGAAAATGTTTTCATAGGATGGAGTTAGAGCACCTGCAGAGGCTGCGTCAGGCCAACCAGGATCTTCTACAAAGGCTAAGAATGAAGCAGGAAGAGATCAGAAAAAGACTTCCCATCAAGCCTCTCTTTCCAGCATCTCTTCGTAATAGAACAGCTACTGAAAGATCTGTCCCCTTGCCCAAGAGAGGGGTATGTGTTGTGTCTGTGCTGGAAGTGCTGGGAGGCAAATGGGCCTTGTATGGCAGGCATAGTTCTGCCTATGGAGTGGTGTGGTAAAGGAGATGTATGGACATGGAGGAGCTAGTAGAAAGTGGAACATGGAGTCTGTTAGAAAAGCAGCTAGACTTTTGTTTATTGTTTATCCTGTGGTCTCAAATATGTTCTCCTTGCAAAGGGTTCAGAGATCACTTCCTGTCTAAGAAATGTAATCTAAGATAGGAATGAACACTGGAACGTAATCCTTTTATTTCTTCTAAGCACAAAGGGTAAAAGTTTAGCAGTTCCTCAAGTTAGGAAAAGCTGCATTTAGTTGGAAGTGGACCCCTTTCTTATCTTCTCCAAACACTTAATAATGTCTCATGAATAATATAAGGATTTTGCTTTTTTCCCCACAGGAATTGAAAGGGGTGAGCAGACTAGAATGAGACGTTGATTTTCTCTTACTGAGTGAAATGTCCTAATGAAAGCTATTTGTAATCTGAATGATGCCATGTGGTATGAGAGTCTCTGTCCTTACAGAAGGAAAATCGGGTTGATGCTGCGAAGTCTACAGCTGACGCTGCGATGTTGGTGTCTGTGGAACCCAGAGTTTACGCAGCCAGAGCAACCCACTGTTCATCTCTTAAACACAGCAGCAGTGACAGAGGGGTACAGCAACAACAAGCAAAGATTCAGGAAGCAGTAGGTTTGGATTCCAGCTTTCCTGGGAAAGAGAAGAATGTTGTGCCAGTGTCTGCAATAATTACGTGTGGCAGAGAAACCTCTGGAGAGGATAGGGATAGCCATGCTCAAGGAAGTCCAGAGAAAGAATCCTTCCTTCTGGGACATGGAGAGAACAGAAAACAGTCCGCTCTGCTACATGGTTTCCCTGAGAAAAAACAGCTTAAGGGTCATCTGGACCCATCACTGAGCAGCATACAAAGTGAAGAGACCAGCAGGCAGCCTGTGGTCCATAGAGAGCCCATAACCCATAAATCAATCTTGCTGACATCTCAGTCTAAAGTGTTGAAGGTAAATGGTGAAACCAATGCTTTGCTTATTTTCATAAGTCAATAGAAGGATGGGGAGAAAGGGCCAGGAGAACATTACTTGCTGTGTTCCCACTGTGTAAACTGGAAGTTGGGGTCAGACCTGTTCCCAGCCTTGGCAGCCAAGGGCTGTTGGCAGGTTCTTCAGCTCCTGCTTTCCTTAGCCCTTGAACCAAAGACCCAAAAACTGTAGCACTTCACTGTAAGGCTCCTTGTCATTTGCATGTGTGATTCAGATGCTCGGGGAGAACAGCCTGGTGCAGTGCTGCTGCTGCATAGCTTGTTTCCTTAAGTGTGAAGGGCAGGCTATTGACATGATCATCCTCCAAGGCCGCAGGGGTGGCCTGAGGTTTGGGGGTGTGTGATGCAGGGAAGTCAGCATTTTGTTTAAAGCCCTGAAAAATACTGCCTTAGCCTGGGCAAGTCCCCTGCCTCCTCTTTCTGTTTTATGAATTGAGAAGACAAAGAGCTGATGAGCAAATTACTGGTAGGGGTGTAGATAGAATCCAGCCTCAAACTAAGCCACAGCTGTCCCACTTGAACAGCTGCCAGCTATCTCCTAAGCTGTGCCTTTGAATGTCCTGCTAGATGTATAGGAAGTCTTTATGAATTGTTTTTTTCTCAGAAGGAAGCTGGTCGTGTGACTTTTCAGTCTGACCCTGAAGAATATACCATACCTGTGAGCCGTTGGTCCGTGCGTCCTTTCCTGGGCTATGACTGGATTGCAGGTGAATCCTAAACCTAAAGCAAAGCTCTCAAGCATGATGTGGTAATATGAAGAGTTAAAACACAGTTTACAACCCCTTTAAGTTGAGGTGTGACAGAACTGCAGACCTAGAGCCCATGAAGCAGGTCTCTGCAGAGGAGCTGCAGTTTTGTCAGAAGCCATTCCCTGTCCAGGCCAGAGGTGACCTGTGCTTCCCTGGAATGGTGAAGTGGCAGTGGTGTGGGAATCCAGGCAGCAAATTGCAAAGCTGAACGGGGTCAGAGGGTACCAAATAACCAAAATAAATGAATGCAATAAGGGACTCAAACCACGCAGTAAACCTCTGGCTTGACATGATGGCAGCATGCCCTTCTCATGATCCACTGTGGTGCTTCAGACCTTTGGTTGTTTTGACTGTTTTGCATAAGGCTTGCTTTGGTGCTTTCCCAAATTTGGTAAATCCTTGAACTTTTCTCTTTCCTTGGTGTTCTCAGGGCTGCTAGATGTAAACTCTTCAGTAGCAGAAAAATCTGATCAATACTTTGCTGAGCTGCATGAGTTCCGACAGGCCAACAAAGAAGCGTGTATTCATGAGCAGCACCTGGAGTAAGTGGGTATGGGGCAAGGGCCGAAGCAGCAATGTATCCCTTTAGAGTCATGAGCAGTATAGTCTGACTGGAGTGGGAAAGTGTAAGGCTGGCTTTGTAGGCCTTTACCTCCCAATCAGAAATGTGTGTTTGGAAAAGGTGGGGCTATTCAGAGGGCTTGCCCCCGCTTCACTAACTGATTTGTTTGCGTGTTTCTTTAGGCTCAAGGCTCTGGATTACACAGTTCCTGAACAAGAACAAGATTTGATAATGAGTTCCCATAAGTGTAAGATCAGATTTCTTCCTAATCCAATTTCTGTGAACAAACAACTGAGCAGTCTTTGCCTGTCATTCTGAGAGACCCCCATATCGTGCCAGACAAGGAAGAATGTGGGGTTTTTTAGCTGCAGCTTCTAAACCAGATTCAACTTCCTATTCCTATTCCTAGTCTTCTAGGGATCCGCTCTCAATCAGTGTCATTTTACTTTGTCAGGGTTTCTTGTAATTGGCTAATGTTTTAAGTTGAGGAGGTTGAAGTTTTGGTTTTGCTTTTTAGGAACTTATCCGGGGACAGGAAAAGCAGCTCTTTCTATAGAATGCTTGTGTGGCACTGTGGTAGAACACAGCTTTGTTGACTAGGTTGAGGAACCTTCTGACAAACCAGAAATAGGATGATTTTTCGTTACTCTGTGGCAGGTGTTTACTGTTATCGATTAAACCAGCGTCTCTTCACTGTCCCTGTGGATTCAGAATCTGCCTGTCCCGTGTGTAAGATCCCACATACTCACCAGCCCCCAGAGGTACTGGAAGAGCCAGCCTGTGTCAGGTAGTTAAGAGTTATTGCTTTGTAATATGCAGAACTGAAGGAAATAACGGGGACGAAAAAGCTGATCATGTGAGGGAGAAAAGAGCGTCAAAATAGCTCTGTAGAAAGTTGCTGTTCTCAAGGCAGAGATATCTCTTGCTTAAAAACTCCTTACTGATCTTTTCCGTAAGCAGAAACAGTCTTGAAGTCAGTGAGAAATGCGTGTTTTATCTGAATTTGGTCTATAATCTGAATGTACATGTTAAGTGTCTAATGCCCTCATCCAAAACTTTCGCTTGGTTCACTTTGGGATTAGACCCTTGGATTCTGAGTGGGGAAGGCATGCAGATTTCCTCTGCTTTGTGGAAGGTGTAGGCAATTACTTCCCTTGTGTGGTTGCAGGGTCAGCATTCCCAGGGCTACCCTTATGCCTGCCTACAAATACAAAGCCCATCGCAGGAAGAGCTTTGAACCGGCAGACAATCTAGCATTACCTTCGGTAAGTTGCTGTCATCTTGCTGACATTGGTGGCACAGCCTAGGCTGGGCATTGTTACAGCACAAGAAAGAAAGAGGATCTGGGACTCATGCCCTGGCAGGGTTTCCACTAAAATTTCTGATCTGTGTCACTGAGATGGCGAGAAAAGCCATTGGTGTGTGCTTTTGAGTTCATACCTTTGTGTAACTGGCATAAAATATGTGACATATCTCCAGATGCTTTACACTGAGAAAAATAAAGTACCATATGAAGCTATATACTTCTGGGGCATGATTCAGGCATTGACCTTTAACATGCTGAACCATACCTAAGAGTGCCTGTATTTCTTTCCATAGATGTTAGTCTAAAAGACAAGCTTCTGTGAAGTATTCACGGTGTATAGGGGCCTGGCAAAATCAGTAGTGGCAAGGTTGGATTCAAAACTGTGTTTGCGGACTTGGTCCTGTATTCCAGCCACTATGCAATGCTGCGTGCAGTGTTACTAATCAGACCTAGAGATTTCCAGGGAAGAGGTTTGGTTTTGAGGTTTAGGGAACTGGATGAGTCAATTGAGACAGGTTCAGAGAGGTCGGGTGCTTGAGTTCACAAAGCAGGATATTGTTTCAGAAATAATTAGCCAGTGAAAGGTGGAAGAGGGGACAGCTATGCAGTTTTGCTTTGTTAGAGATTTCTTCTCTTTCCTGTTAGTCATATAAAACACCTTAAAAATTAATTAGTTACCTGCTAAAACCTCCCTGTGCAGAAGTTATTAGTTAGAACTAACAGGCCACAATAGATTAAAAAGGGTAAAGCACTCTTATGCAGCATTCCCATCTCTTTTCACAGCATTGTCTGGCTGGCTGGGAAAACACCATCCCTTCCAGCAACCCCACGCTCAGCAGTTTGGATCTGCGAGCTTCACTGGAAGAGAAGACTTCTCCCCATCCTCACCTGGTAAGAATAGCCTGTTAAGAGTCCCTGGAGATGCTGTGAATTGCACAGGTGGGAACTGCAATCCCATCTCTCTAAAGGGTATGATAATCATTGGTGGCTGAGCAAACAAAAATGCCTGGAAGATTATCTCCTCATCTCCAGAGGGAAACATTTTCCTTCCACTGCTGTGTAAACTAGTGTGCACAGACACAAAAAAGCAAATGGAGGTGGATAACAGGCAAAAGCCTATTCAGCTCACCAATCTTCAAAATGGGAGAAGTCACCTCAGCATTCTTTGATTAATATCCTCTTCATTTGGATTCCAGAACTCGGTGTCCAGAGTGTCAGGACGAACCAGAACTGACCAGCTTCTGAACCTGACCCACTCGACACACTTCGGGTGTAGCAGTGCCTCTCAGCAGAGGGAGCAAAACAAACCTGGAGACTACAGAGAAGCTCCACATTTAAATCCGACTGCCTCAACTCTGTGAACCACTGATTTGGTTGCCCTGGGGAAGGGATGGGTGCAGGGTGTGGAAACAACTCTATTTGGATAAAAATAAATCTTTGAACAGATTTTTCCTAGTTTTCACGGTCGTGCGTATATGTGAGCAACCAATACGCATAGCTGAATGTACAAACTCTCATATCTGTTTTTCCACTTTTCTTTTTTGCCTTTTGCAGCTACTGCTAAGCAGATGCATGAGCTTTCCTACCGAGGGCTGGATAAAGCGATGTGTACAGGATGACTAACTAGTACTGTTATCACTAGGACAGCTGTAGCAACAGAGTTCATCTGCCACCTCACCTAAGTAAACCAGAAGTGTAATGTTAACTCTGAATGCCAGGGTGAGGAATTGGCCCATGAATGGCCTGGTTTAGTAGAATGCGTACAAATATGTTCACTTCCAAATGTTTGAAACATGACACATAATTTGCTAGTGCCTTAAACTTGAGTTACTCAATAATTTAGTTAAAACAAAAAAAATCCAGTTTATTTTCAGTGCAATGTCTGTAGCTACAGGGTGCATTATATCAGAGTAATAATGAATGTGAAAAAGCATGTTAAAGTAAAATGAGGTTTTATTAATCAAAAAGCTAGATAATGCCTTAAAATGTTTGCAAATTATGCTTGCCTCTGCTTTTCCAAGTTTTTTTGAGATACACCAAAAAACATTTTTGAGTTTTAAAATTGTACCAAAACAAAATATATTATATAGTGTGATTTGTTTGAACTTTATAGACTGATCTTACTTTCCTTGTCTAAAACCAATAAAACTGATGTTTTATTTTGCTTTGATTAAGCCTGAAACAGAAATTCCTGTCTTAAGAATTCTGTAAGTTATTGTGAAATCTTTAGTAGCAATTGCATTCAGAAACTGTGGATCAAATTTATTTCTGGAAGCTAACTTGGCAGAAGGAATTTGGTTTACACCAATGATATTTTCAGCTTCTTGGCATTCACTGTTTTTTTAATATATATATTATTTATAAATCAAATGTATGAATAGACTTTCTTTAAGCAAGGAAAGGAATGCTGCAAATTTATGAAATCTTAGTGTGACACTTAGAATGGAAAATGAAAGGCCTGACTGATCAGTTTAGCTTTGTGTTGTAGGGTAAAGTGAATGGAATTGGTCACATTATTTCCATTAGTGAAAATACTAATTTTAAAAGAGATTAATCCAGTGAATATAAAACACTAGCTGCCATATGTTGTATTAAATAGGGCAAATTCAAGATTTTTACTACCTTGCCTTAACACCAAAACATTAGAAGTCATAAACCTCTTCTTAACTTACCCTGAAACAAATTACAGCAAGACTGCTCCACTTTATAAACAGAAAAAATGAAGCACTGTAAGATTAAGTAACTTATGTGAGATCTATCTGGTGAATGCAGGATGGAACAAACGTGGAACTCAAAATGTCTCTTGACAGCTAGGAATACGTTCAATCTTTTACACTTGTGAAAGTATTGAAAGCGTGATTATGACTCTCTTGTTCTACTGGAAACAGGTGAAAGAAGTCAGTGACACTGCACCTGCTTACCCAAGATAACCTCAATTTGTCTCTTTGTATGTTGGTTCTGGCCTGTTTGATCCTGCCCTCATTTGCAAGCTGAAACAGACCGAAGATGCTACCCATTTATGGAACCTGGTTTTTTTTTGTTTATTACTCTTTTCAGAGCAGAAAATCTGATTTGCCTATTAACTTAGGGAATGACCCGATGGTTCTATGTTGTTTTTACAGTTATGTCTCCGTATCAGTGCAGAATAAGCTTATATTGTGATCCTTTTTGCATAGGGAATCTAACCAGTGTACTCAGGTTTTCCAGCAGAGCTTAAGCAGACTGTATGTTTTGAAATTTCTACTCTGAGTAGTGCCCAGGTCAGTTTGTAGTTGATAGTATACAGAAACTTTATTAAGATTTATCTGCTGGCCAACTTGGTCTTCTCTTTCCATTCATAATTGAAATTATCAAAGATTTTGCAGTTGGAACTTGGTTAATATTGTTGATACATGATCCAGAATTTAATCTAGAACCATTTGTTTCTAGCTGCACTGTTTCTCTGGAAGAGAGACAGGAGGTCTGAAAGTGAGTAAACACGTTATTTCTTAAATTAGGACACCTGCCATGGATGTGCATGGAGGCCTGATCTACTAAAGAAGGTGATTCACGTATAGTCAAGCTTCTGATCATAATCTCACTTTAAGGTAGAGTTACCAAAAAGATGCTTGCTCTAATTTCACATGACCTGCAGCTGAGGTAAATGTGTGTACCCCTTTCATCTGTTTTCTCACAATCACTCTGCTGAGGTCTTGCAACGCTATGTGCCAAGCAATGTGGCTGCTGATTGTACTCAGAATCGCAGAATGCTTTGGGCTGGAAGGGACCTTTAGGGATCACCCAGCCCAGCCCCTGCAGTGCCAGGGACAGCTTTACCCAGCCCAGGGTGCTCACAGCCCCGGCCAACCTGGCCTGGGATGTTCCCAGGGACGGGGCCTCCACCGCCTCTCTGGGCAACCTGTGCCAGAGCTTCACCACCCTCACTGTAAAAACCTTCTTCCTTATATCCAGTCTAAATCTATTCTTCTTCAGTTTAAAGCCATTGCTCCCTGTCCTGTCCCAACAGGCCTTGCTAAAAGCTTGCCCCCGCCCTTCCTGCAGCCCCTGTCAGCGCTGCCAGGCCGCACTCAGGCCTCCCCGCAGCCCCCTCCTCTCCAGGCTGAGCACCCCCAGCCCCCAAGCCTGGCCCCGCAGCAGAGGGGCTCCGGCCCTC